ACTCAACAATACTCAGTTCAATTACACATTACCTTACGTTGCTTCTCGGCCGGCCTTATATATACAAGACTACCCCAATCTAGTAGTCTCCCGACATTTCATGAAGGTTCGAGAAGGAAGTGGCGTGATACAAGAGTCACGTGACCTGCGTTGTCGTAACAGTACTAATATATTTATATAGATATAAACTAACCTTGCTTTGCATCGGTCCATATCTGGACTGAATCCGTACTTTGGGGCCTTTGGTGTACTGTAAATTACGATAAGATCCAGTTATTCCATCAGACAACAGTAGCCCAATTTCCATGAATAATTGGTATGGTGTGTATCATATTAATAGAGCAAATGAATTGTAAATATTATCGATTTAAGTTATGTACAAATCATATTTTAAAGCAAGAATTAATTACACGTCATTGTGTACTTTAATTTTGACTTTAACACGTTAATCTTATTTAATTATTTATTATTTTATTTGAATGAAATCTTACTTTCAGTACACTTGCACAGATTTTAACTTTTCGAATTAGGAGGACAAATAAAAAAGTTATTGTATCGTTTAACGCCACTTTTTAAAAGTTTTTGCAACTGAAGAAAATAATGGCCACAAGACAGTCTCCTTATTGTTTTAAAAGCTAAAAAAAAATGTCCAATAATTCCATTTATTTAAACATTTTTATTTAATTTTGAAAATTAGCCTTCTGCTTAGATTTTCTCTCATATTTTAATAATTCATTCCAACAATTCTAAATATTAAAACTACTTTTTAAGCGCGAAAATAATTCCAAACATTAAAACTATTTTTTAAGCGCGAAAATAATTCCAAACATTAAAACTCCTTTTTAAGCGCGATAATAATTCCAAACATTAAAACTACTTTTTTTTTAAGCGCGATAATAATTCCAAACATTAAAACTACTTTTTTTTAAGCGCGAAAATAATTCCAAACATTAAAACTCCTTTTTAAGCGCGAAAATAATTCCAAACATTAAAACTACTTTTTTTTTAAGCGCGAAAATAATTCCAAACATTAAAACTACTTTTTTTAAGCGCGAAAATAATTCAAAACATTAAAACTACTTTTTTTTAAGCGGGAAAATAATTATATTTTAAATCATTCAATTTTTTTTTTCATTTTGGAAATTCACGTGATATTTTGTCATTAGCTATGATTCAAAAACTTTTTTATATTTATTTTATTCTTGTTTAAATCTAATACCCTGAGAAATGTTGTTTAGATATTTTTTAACAAACTCTTTTTGGCAGCTAACCTTGAACCTATCTTCTGCGGTGGGTATATTACGTCACATCCGGTCTGCGGTACAGTTTCTTTTTACCGTGGTGCAATAAAAAAATTATTTGATCAAGTGGATTTCATTCACACTTCATAAATCCCCTCGAGTTATGTATAGAAACATCCTGCGTACGTCAGCCACGTGTATCATATCGAGTAGGGTTTTCTAACCCGTGTGTAATTCTCTTTACGCATCCCCCAATTGAAACTTAGTTGTTGTTTTTTTGGGGGTGTGTTTTTGCATTGAAAAACGTATAATTATCTTTAATTTGGCTCTTATATACAAAAAAACGTTTACGGTTTATCGTTTTCTCCCATCCTGTTTGTACTTTTTATGTTTTGTTTTATGCAGTACAACAACACCGTGGGCTGGCAGCTGTGTAAAATGTATAACTGTTTAGCATATTTATAAAGGGGTTCTTTCTTCGTTTTGCATATACATTTTTTCATGTGTAAGTACTTTCTTGTTTTTTGACGTATAGTTAATTGAGGGTTGTCGTAATTTGTTGTACTATTGAAACTGGTCTATTTTCTGAGTGCAATAACCGTAAAAGTTGGACTGGACCATTCTGTCTTCAACTCAATAACCGTAGAAGTTGGACCGTACCATTCTGTCCTCACCGGAATAATACATAAAAGTTGGACTGGACCATTCTGTCCTCACCGGAATAATACATAAAAGTTGGACTGGACCATTCTGTCCTCACCGGAATAATACGTAAAAGTTGGACTGGACCATTCTGTCTTCACCTCAATAACCGTAAAAGTTGGACTGGACCATTCTGTCCTCACCTGAATAATACGTAAAAGTTGGACTGGACCATTCTGTCCTCACCGGAATAATACGTAAAAGTTGGACTGGACCATTCTGTCTTCACCTCAATAATACGTAAAAGTTGGACTGGACCATTCTGTCTTCACCTCAATAATACGTAAAAGTTGGACTGGACCATTCTGTCTTCACCTCAATAATACGTAAAAGGTTTTCTGCTGGTATTACTTTCATTATTTGCTACGAAACATTTTTATGCCATTTAATAATACGTTGAAAACTATGAAATAATTTGAAATAAGTATCGGTGAGAACAGTAACGACCCCTATGTATGGATGATTCCGGTTGAAAATGGCGGACCTTCACTAATCAAGTACAAAGCTGCCTTTAAAGTTTGACTAATCTTTCTTGACGTCTAGAAAACATCGATTTTCTTCGTCTTCTTTCTTCCTCTTGGTCAGCTGTAACTTGTAAAACCACAGTGTATTTACGATGATACAGATTGTTTAATACGCATATCAATCAATAGATGGCGCGGCATGTAAAGCTAATCATAAAGAGTGCAGAAACTAGTGATAAATATTTGATTCCAGTTTTATATATTTCACCCCTAACTAATATATGCTGTGAGTGCAGTATATGAGTGATGGAATGCAGGAACGGATTTCTGATCTTATACCATCCCTAAATCCCAACAATTTTTTAATCAAAGCAGAAACTGTACATAATTATCATCAGTTCTGCCACACAGACTTACTTAACATTTCAAAAATAAAACAAAGTGGCAACTAACAACAAATATATTAGTCGTGATTGTCAAAATGCAAGCAGGTGCGTAAGTATTTTGCGTAATTTGCGAGTAAGCATTTTGCGTGATTAGCGATTTTGTCCTAGTTGCCAACAAATTTAAGGAGAACTAATCACAATTTTTAATTAAAAAAATATTCCAAGTCTCGTGCTACCCTTGCATCGACTTCCCCTGTCGTTGATTTTGTTCAGTACAGTCACCATTGTTAAATTCTGTTGCCTGACCTGCAGTTTCCAAGCTTCTTCTAAGGACAACGGGGTCAATTTTAGGTCACGTGACTTTGCACACACACACACACACACACACTGCTCTGTTCGTTGATGTCAGGTTCCAAGCCCGTATTTAAACAACTCGAAAGCACAAAAGTGTTTTTTAGAGCTACTTTGAAGGACTTGGCAGGTAGGAACAGGATTGGTGTAAATCTAATTTTTCCAAACATTTTTCTTATTAAAACATCAACTTAAAATTTCGAGGTGTGGCTTGAAGCTTTTAAACGTTTGGCCTACGATCCTTCGTCAGATTCAAATCCTTGTTTAGAATTTTGTTATTAATAACAGGATATATATGCCCAGCTTCAGAGTAATGACTACTGAAATCGGAGAGTTCCCTTTCGAAATCACAGCCTTCACTTTGTGGATAAGATCTTTTCCCCATATTACAGTGGGGGTGTGACTTCGGAGCTTACTGTTATCTTAAACGCTGTGCAGTAAGACTTTTTTTTCTGCACCTATGAATAGCATTGAAGGCTCTCTTCCTCGAAACGGTACGACCTGATGGCTAGGGGGCACTCGAGTCGCAATCTTCCGACCACCGGTTCGAATCCCGCCACTAAACATGTTCTCCCTTTCACCTGTGGGGGCATCATAATGTGACGGTCAATCCCACTATTCGTCTGTAAAGGAGTGGTCCAAAAGTTGGCGATGGTTGGTATTAATTAGTTGTCCTTCTTCTGTATGCATTGTTTATTAGTCTCGTTATATAGACGTTTCTCTTCGGAAAGGATTATAACAAATACTTCTGTAGTCATAGGTTATGCGCGACAACTTGTTATGTGGATTAGTTGGTTATTTGTTCGTGAATCAAAAATATAAATGCTAAAATTATCGACCTTGGTGCTCCGACTGGTATCTGGAGACCCACTGACAGAAATTCCGGGCCCCAGGGCAGAACAATCAATGGCCCCCTAGAACACGACTGTTGTTGTGACCCCTTTTTTTATTCTATTAATAACAGTAGGAAACGAGTAATTTATTTGTTGCTGCAAATATTAATTACAAATAAAAAAATGTATCTCCCCCCATCCTCTCTGGTCCATGGGAAGTTGCTCTCCTTGTCCCCCTCCCCTGTCGGCAGTGGCACGCCTCTAGCGTCGTTTTCTTAACGTAATCTGAATAAAATTGTTTTGTAAACAGTTGGTTAGTGACTTATTTCCCTCGAACAGTAACGCCAGCTAGTGGCGTGGGTGTAAAGCCGTTAGTAAGATCAGAATATAGCATTAACATTTATTAATTATTTCCACATGCACTTAATATACGTTCTAACCATTATTTGGACAATAAAAAAAATAACTAAAACGTGTTTTTGTTGTTGATGGTATAGCTTATTCTGAAAAGTCCTAACACTTATTAAAACACCACGTGGGTCACAACTCCCACTGAGTTACCATGGAGACGGTATTGAGAAATGCACGTGGGGGTTCTTCTAGATGTTAGCACGTGGATGTTTATGAAACAGATGATAAGGTGTTGATGAACTAAGATAAAGGGGCTTTTTATGATAAGCATTACAAGAGTCAAGAGTGTGCCTTGGAAACTTCTAGAAACTGTTACTCTTGAAAAGTCTTTTTTAAAGTTCTTTGCCATCCGATATTGTGCTCGTAAATGAAAAATTATGGAAAGACTTTTATCAGAATTTCGGAAGGTTTAAAGTACTAACTTTCAAGTTTGAGATACATTGTGCTTCTTCTTAAGCACAAAGCTGCACTTAAAGACTTTCAAATCAGTCTCGTTGGTGCTTGTTTCAATTTATAATACTCTAAAAATCAAATATAATCTGCTCCCTCCCCCTAAATGATCTTATGTTTCAAATTATAATAATACTCTAAAAATCAAATATAATATGCTCCCTCCCCCCTAAATGATCTTATGTTTCAAATTATAATAATACTATAAAGGTCAAATATAATCTGCTCCCTCCCACTAAATGATCTTATGTTTCAAAATATAATAATACTATAAAGGTCAAATTTAACCTGCTCCCTCCCCCCTAAATGATCTTATGTTTCAAATTATGATAATACTATAAAGGTCAAATATAACCTGCTCCCACCCCGATGGCTCAGCGGTAAATCTGGGGGATTATGATATTAAAAATCGATGGACAGAGTACAGATAACCCACTGGGTAGGTTTGTGCTTCACAACAAACAATTATAATCTATTCACGAACCAGTTTCGTTAAATTGGTAAAAACAGCCCAACATGAAATCCATCTCTTTAACATTTTGTTACAGTGAAATGTTTGCTTACTTTTTCTGTTTTATCCCGTAAGTGCCTCTTGGTGATTCAGCGGTAAGCTCGAGAGCTTATAACGCGAAAAGTCGGGGTTCGATACCCCTGTTGGATCCAGTGCAGATAGCCCATTGTTAAGCTTAGGGCTCAAACTCAAACAAAATGAGCCAATAAAATTATTTTCGTTTTTACTGTGGACCAGCGGTAAGTTTCCGGATTTACAATGCTACAATCCGGAGTTCGATTCCCTGAGATGGAAAACGTGCAGGTAGCCGATTGTGTAGCTTTGCTCAAAAAATACCATTATAAAAACTAAAGATTAAGCTTAACTGAAACAGAAACTTAACATTAGGCTTAAATGATACAGAAACTTAACATTAAGCTTAAATAAAACAAAGATCTTACTACTGGCGTTGGATTTTTTTTTCTTTTCTTTTTCCGGAGAGGAAGAATCTGGTTGTAAGGAAATGATTTCTCTGTTCATATCTTATTTGTACTTTATTCTAGCCTACTAGTCTCAAAACACAAATATTCTCGTAAACACATTATCTGTTTCGATAACGTAGATCACCAGTGCCAGCTAGCGGATGTTTTCCCATTCTCCACGTCCTTCAAATACTTCCAATCGCTACACGCAGGATATTGGGAGAGGAATGATTTCCTGAACTTCGGACAGTATGGATACACTCGCTTTAACGTTTCATGTTGCTTTGGAAACTATGGTGTGTTGTATCAAACATAAAAAAACTCAAACCAAAGCTATTGACGAAACAATGATGCTAATTTTTCTTACGAGTGTTAGATTCGATAGAATAACGTTAAAGATGTGTAGCTGGGTTGGTTTACTTATTTCCAGTAACCCATGGTAATCGAACCAGCCTGTTTAACACTTTCATAAGAGGAAACTTGTAGTTGAATGTGTTCATGTTCAGAGAAGATTAATTAAAATGTCAGTGATTCACTGACAAAAAAAGGCACTCTTCAAGCATCGTAAGGCAGGTTTTATGAGGGGGGAGGTGAAGTGTTAGGGGAACTATGTGTTACCTCTAGCACATATAAAGTAAAAAAAAACAAAAAAAAACATGAGGGAATCCACAATAGCCGCGGCACTTGAAATTCTTTCAGGCAGGATTAGAGTAAATTACTGTATGAGACTTTTTTTTTTTCCTCCATTTTAATTAGCTATATTTTTGTGCGCCGCATATACCCTATTCGATTTTATTACTCATCAGGACCTCTACCAGCCAACCTTCAAATTGAAATTATTTTTGGCAGGATTGGAGTAAACGAATCTATGATATATTGGGCATGAACAAATACACCAATCGAAAGAGTTTGACCTCTCGAGTCCAAAACTGTAATTAGATCTCAAAAAAGTTTGTACTTGAAAAAACTCGGAACCGTTCTATGAGCCGATATGCCGCGGCTGAAAATGATAAGAGTGAAACAGATCCTCTTTTACTTCTATTTAGCTTGTCTTATAAACACTTCTAAAATCTAAGCGTAAACAATAAATTATTGCTTATTAACACAGCTTTAAGTCTGCGAACTTATAACGCTAGAAACCGGGGTTCGATAACCATGGTGGGCACAGCACCGATAGCCCATTGTGTAGCTTTGTACTTAATTACAAACAAACAAATAAGCATATCAAAATCCTCCCTTCCTTTAAAGACCTGTACGTTGATTTTTTTTCTCCTTTACTTCATACATAATATAGGGTTTAGCTCCCTAAAGACAACGATTATATAGTGTACAAAGCATATAGTATCTACATGTTACAGTCATCTAATGTTCATCTATTTTTGGCTGGTAATTCCTGTTTCACCCTGTACTTAAGCTTTTTAAAGGAACACCAAATATTTGTAAGAAAGCCAACTCCAAGGGGGTTACTAATAACATCGTTTACACTAGAATTATGATTTTTTTAGATTATGTAAAATGTAGAAGAAACAAATCGGCCTTTAAATGTCTCTAAGACTTTTGCAGTACCTTATTTAGTATTCTACAAAGAGTTTGGGTGCAACATACCACGCTGCTGTTATTGTAGGCTGGCAAGAGAAGAATAATAATAATGATCAGAAGAAGAAGGAGAATTACAAACGAGCGGATTTTATTTTCTTTGTAATTCTAACATGTATGCTTTTTTATCCATTTTTGTATGAGTACAGCCTTAGCAATCAATAGTAAAGGTTTTAAAGTGTTGTTTGAACTGAATCTTTTTTGTTTAAGGTGCCCCCAGTGGCTCAGCTGTATATCTGCGGACTTACAACGGTTGAATCCGGGTTTCGATACGCGTGGTGGGCAGAGCAATAGCCCATTGTGTAACTTTGTGCTTAATTACAAACAAACAAACTATATAAGGTGATTTTGCTAGAACGCTCTATTAGGGTTTTATTCAATTTCCTGCGATCCCTATTATGAATCACTATCGTGTTTAAGGTTATACTGTCTCCAGTAGCTCTGTACCTCGAAGCTATGCTGTAAAGTATATGTTTAATCCCTTTAAAAACAGCTAGTTGCTTAATTAGAGCCTTCATTTAAAAAATAGGAAAATCTTTAGGGTTGGATCAGAGCCCTTCCCCTCCCTGCGAATGCAGCCCATTAGTGGACTGATTATCCTACTGATATATGGGCTGCCTCGGGCCCCTTGGTATGGGGGACATACATAGATATTTTATGAGTGATTCGACTAGAAAATCCAAAAACCACATGGTTGATCCGTTCTGTTGTACAATTACCGTTCTATATTTCATTGCCGAATACTATGAGTGTTCCTGCAGCGACCGAGACCGACATTTCTCACTTCTTATTTTCGTTCATTAAACCACGTCGGTAGGACAGTAATAAGTCTACGGACTTACAACGCTAAAATCCAGGATTCGATTCCCCCTCCCCAGTGGACACAGCAGATAGCCCAATGTGTCTTTGCTCTAAAACAAGCAAACAATCATTAAAACACTGCTTTCATTAGAAATTGCTAACTTATACTGAGTTGTTAAACCCAATACTTGCAATAAAGGTTGCCCCCCCCTCCATCAAATCTAGAATTGCGCTACTGCCTTTTGGCCTTGTTTTCTTACATTCATCCTTCTTATATTGTATATTGTTGCCTGGGACACGTGGACTGA